CTTTTTTTCAATTCTATATAAGAATCATGCTATGAATTATTATATAGATTTTAAAATCAATTATATTTTCATGTCAATTACTTTGTAATTTTTTCACATTAGCATTACAGTTCGTACTGATTTACAGACAATATTATGCAATGAGGTAACAATGAATCAAATATCTTCACTAGATTAAAGAGCCATATTGTTGAATCAATATTTTTCTAAACACCTATTTGAACACAGATACATAACTATTTCAGCAAATTTTATACAATTTTTTTTTGTTTTTAGTAAGCTAATAATTTCAGTATCAACTTTGCATCTCACAAAACTTCTTATTTGTCTCCAACAAATGTTTTTCAAGCTTTACTTTATTGCCCAAATGTACCAAAATCCAAGTAGAAGAATTTTAACATTTTTTATCTGAAAAAGCAACAAATTTTTACTTTTGATGTTTTGTCCCCTATTATCCCTTTAATCCTTTCTTTACATACATGGGAACAATATGTATATTAGACATCAAACCTAGGGTGATGTAATCCCCAAGCTTGGAAGTCTATCTGCCCTGCATGCCAAGTCCATACCCTAACTTATTGTAAGCATGACCCATCAGAGTCCAGGCAAGCTATACCTCAGCCAATTGCAGTTCACACTAATATTCCATTCTGACAATCTGTGCCCCAAGCCTGGAATAATTTTAGCAGAATACTTTCTCTTTTCTTCTTCTCTTCTTCCTCCTCTCTCCCTACCCTCCTTCTTCTTCATTTACTTCTTAAGTACTTTTATAACTATTTGTTTGCTGTGATGGTATTGAGAGAATTTGGGGAAAATTTTTTGAAGTCATTTATCATGTACAGTATGTAATTAATATGTAGGATGTACAGGTCTGTACACATGTAACAAAAACAAAAACTTTATATATATACACACGTATATAAAGACATAAGTACTTTATGTATACATACATACAAGCAATACACACACACACACATATACACATACATATATATGCCATTGAGAATTAACGTTATAGGTAGAAAAGTGTGTAAAAATGCAAACAGGAGCTTAGGTTTGCATGTTTATATATATTTCTGAAAGGACTTGCATATTTTCTCTGCCTATCACCATCATTCTGAAAAATAGCATATTTTTTTTCATTCAGATAAATAGTTAAAATTAACATGTTTTGTAATGTATATAATTTTCCCTCCTTTCACTAGGTAGAAAATGCTTACCTGTGTTCTCCTACTGTGAAGACTTGGAATCCTCAGACAACTACAGCTTTGATTCTCCAAGTACTTCAGGATGTAAATGTGGTCTGATCTTTCCCTGATGGGCAGTTAAATCATGGACTCGCTGAACAATTTACTTTGGACTGTCCTTCCAAAAGATGCTTTTGCTTCTCTCTTGAATGCTCATTAAGCATTTGTAGCTGACAAGGAAGAAAAGGAAAACTGTGAACTGGCAAGTTATCTTACAATGAAAATTACGAGCACATCTTGCATCTGTCCAGTCCTAGTGTGTCTCTGTTTTGTGCAGAGGTGTTATGGAACTGCTCATCACAGCTCCATCAAGGTGACCAGAAACCAAACCAAACACATTGAAGGTGAAACAGAAGTCCACCATCGTCCCAAAAGGGGATGGGTGTGGAATCAGTTCTTTGTTTTAGAAGAACATATGGGACCAGATCCACAATATGTTGGAAAAGTAAGTTTTTTAAAAAAATTTGTTTCCTATAGTTTGTTTGTTTTCCTCTCCTGAGAAATTGTGTGGTGAGATGAGAATGGAGTTGAATACAATTTGAAACATGAAGTGATTTTTTTTTAATAGAAAGCTATACTTTGTATTGGAGAGCTTGAGGTATTTGTAAAAAATGAACACTATCAATGATATTGCGTCTCTTTTAAATCTTTTCCAGAATATTGAAATGTGCATCCTTTACCAGATCATTAGTGGCTTTTTTCTTTTCTTAAGTAGGAAGGCTTAATCAAAAACACAATTAAATTATTTTATAATATTGCAAAAGTACATTAGAATATGCAATGTCACTTATTGAAGCATTTCTGTTTATTGGTAACTTTTTATCTCTTGCTCGTGCACATGAGGCTAAAAAGTTACTATGAACATAATATCTAATATGTTTCTGGCGATTGTTACAGAAATATATTCTTAATCAGCCTTTTGAAGACATGGATATTTTTCTAATTCCCCAAAATTGTTGATAGATTTTAAATACAGAGTAAATATGCACTAGTAATATGAGGTTTGAGAAAATCCCAAAATATTATGGGGCAGAATAACCAGTAATATCAGAAGAAGTTATCTTTCTTTAAAAAATACAGATAAGAAAATTCAGTGACTTATCCTTATCTTCAGAAAACTGACTACTCAGTAGCATGGGAGAACTTAGGTATATGTCATTTAGGTTCTAGAAAAGAGTGGAAAATTGAAAAGCTTAATTCTGATTCATTACTGACCTCTGGAAGCAGCACACAGATTTATTCTGTTACCTATGGGAGAAAGTAAGCAGAGCAGTGGAATCACCCTGACTACAGTGGCTCAGTGACTTCTGTTACCCTGATTGACTCTTTCTTGTCAATTTTAAGTATATATTACATAGAAAGGGTTAAAAATGAATATGGCTGAGTAACAAGAATATATGGTAACTGGTCCTTTCCCACTAGTTTCTGGAAGAAAAGCATTATTAGGGCATTATTAGCACTATTACTGAGAAAAAAAAATACTATTCCATCCAAACCATGGTACTTTCCTTATGTGTAGACAGTGCAGGATCACAAACCATGTCTTCTACCCCTGGTCCAACAAGACTGTTTTGCAGCTGCATTTTCCATACAACACAGGAGCCATGGTGTCAGAAACAACAGAAAATATCCGAAACAAGTCTATCATTTCCTCATATGCATAATAAAATGAAACAAATGACTCATGTCACTGTATGCTATTTTCCCCTACAAAGTGTTGTATGAAAGACATGAAAGCAAATGCACTAATATTAATACAAAATATATTGAATTATTAGAAAATCATTTTTGTTTTGAAATGCAAAATACATTTCTATAATCATTTTATTTCTTGAAAAGAAGAAAATAAATGGGAACCGACAGAATTGGTTCTTTTGGTGGGAAATAAGAGAAAGACATTTTATTATCAATTTATTATGCTTATTTCTTTTCTTTTTAATTTCACTAAATAACAAATAAAATTTTCTGGAAATGGGAGAGAAAAGAGCAGATAAATTTTATTTTCTTTTGGCATGCATAGTTTTGGTAGAAGATAAAAACTTAATCAGAAGATGGATTCTAAACAAGTGTTCTGAGATTGGGGGATGATGAATATATGAATGAGTGCACGTCACAGATCTGTATGTGGTGGAGGCTCGTGATCTATTGTACTCAGTGCAGGACCTGTGAAATTGTTATTAATTTAACTTTTTTGTAGTATCAATGGACAGATGGATGTGCATGAAGGGCCACATTGAGTATGGCCCAACTTATATGAAATTTAAATAATCAATGCTAGTATACAGCCACAACGATTCATTTATGTACTATGAAGGCTGCTTTCATTCCACAATAGCAGACTTGAGTAAAGTTGAAACATTGTGGGACCCACAAAGTTGAAGATGTTTAGCCTTGGCCATTTATAGAAATGTTCTTGAGCTCCTGGGTAAAATGTTTGCCACATAATATACTGGGTGTGAATGCCTTTGGGTGCAAGTACTGAGATTTTTATTTGTATGCACTGACATTTACCAATATGTCAAATGTAGTAATTTACAGAAAAGCATAACATGAGTTACAGGCTTTGTAACCATGTTAATGATTATGATAATTATTTGAAATTATTAGAACAAAAATCTTTCTGGTCAGTGGTTTTATTGACAAGAGTTTTCAGAGGTCTTCACTATTTTTATCGGTGTACCTTCTTGTGTAGTTTACTTAAAAAGTGCTTACTAGTCAACTTTGTTGTTCTTATTTTGCTGCTATTACATGCAAAAATAGAACAAATAATCCTCTATGCACATTATTTAACATACATATAGGTAGAACTATAAGAGAGATTTACAAAGTAGGATTCTATTCACGTATAAATAATTATAATCTTGGTAAAAATCACTAGATCCCTTTTATAGGTGTTGAAGTATTTTATACGTTTATCAGTGGTGTATTAAAATGAGTGATTTTGTTCAGGTATGCCTTCAGAGATAGTTGTAAAACTTGGAGTTTTGCACATATGATAGGTGAAAAATAAAATCTGTGCACTTTTAATTTGCATTTCTCTTAAATTTATCAAATGCAGTCACTATAAGAGAAATGCAAAAAAAAAAAGAAATGCAAATTTATTTAGGAGAGATTTTTAAAATTTTATTCCTTAATTTGATATTATTTTCTTGCTGTCTTTAACATGGTAGAGATATATTGGTATATTCATAGAAATATATTAGTTTTTAAAGTAGGTTATTAATAATTTTTCATATTTGTTTACTTTTTGAATTGATTATGCTATTTTCTTTAGTAGAAATTTAGTATTTTAATAGATAACAAATTCTTATCACTTTTTGGTTTTACCTGCATTTTGTTTGATGTGTAATTTCTGAAGCTTGAGTGAGCTGGACTTCAGAATAAGAGACGTTCAGAATAAAACATATTCTTTGGTCCTTAATGTCTTTAGTTTATCACTCATATTAGAAAGATAACTTATCAAATAAAAAATAATTATTAAAAGTAGAAATCTTATGGTAGAGATATTAACTACAATTTAAGGTACACTATTTGGTGATTAAAATATGAATTTAGGGCTATATTATATGTGGAGATCATATTTACCAGCAAAATATATCCAAGATGTGTAGGTTATAATTACAGAATGTGTTGATCTTATTGGTAATATTTAGGAATGCTTAAATGCATGCAATTGATACAGTTTAAAAAGATACATTAAAATGATAATCTATTAAAACAAATATGCCTACAATATGCTTCATATTATTTATTCAGTATCTGCTTATGATTACATAGATATTATACTCCATAAATACATATTATATTCATTTCAGTAATGTAGACAGTTTATTTAACTCACCATATATATTTAAGAAAGGAAGATATGTTTATTACAGAGTGTTTGTGAACGAACATTGTCCTCATCACATGATCTGGCAATTAAATAGAGTAGAAGTAAGCATTATAAACAAGAGAAAGACCAAAAAGTGTGTTTCTGTACAGCATCATGGCTTAAGCTAAAATCATCTAACCTACTTACAATTTTTTTCTTAGGTATTTGGTATACTGAAATTAAAGATAGTTTTGATAGTAATAGGAGATTTCACTTTTTCCTGAATTAAAAAATGGATTATATTCTCCACAATCACTTTTTTATATTTAGGGAGTATTTTCTTACAATTTAGTATTTTCCCTTGGTTATAAATCATAATTTGATGAAAATAGTACTTAGGTCTGTTGAGAACTTGACTTCTAAATGTCTCTCATTCTCCTTTCCACTTGTGAGTATACATGTAGCAGTAGATGAGTGTAGATTGAAGATAATTACTGTCAACTTGCTTTGTTAATATATTTGTTATATATTGCAAAATATAGTGAATAAGGAAGGAAGTCTAACAGTATAAATGAACAAAGAAATGGCTTTGCAGAATTACTCCAGGAGAAAAAAGCAATGATGTCAACAGAATTTGTCTTGGCAGTGTCAAGGAATAAAATCTAAGATAGCTGATTCTTTAATGAAAATCACTTTCCAGTATATGCAGCAGGAAATTCCCCTCTCGTCATAATGATTACTGACATTTTTCTGTATTTATTTATTTTTTTTTACTTAGAGGATAACCACTAAATGTCTTTTCATGCTGTATATTCAAATTAAATGAATGACTTTCAGGTTGTAGAGAGAATAAATCATGAAAAAAATGGTAGAAATTTCAGTCTTTTCAGAAAAAAAAAATAGCTTTAATGTCATCATAAACTCTGAATTAAAAAGTAATGCACAGTACAAATGGTGGTAATTGTCACCCAATGTTGTCCAAAGATAATTTTCATCACTTTTATCAATACTTAATTGGAATGGAAAAATCCATGTATCATAATATGACTTTTGAATCTTATATATGACAATACGATGACATAATGTCATGTGGACTTAACTATGAGTCACAGTTCTTCTGTGCAGATACAAACATTTTTTAGTCATAATATAGAAATTTATCAATTTGGATCTAGACCTAAAAGAAACTGGATGCAAAAACAAGAAATTTATTTGTTAGATATAGCATTCATTTAAATTGCAGTGGTATAGGATTTGCGTGGTTTATTTTCATTGTTGTTTTTAAAATTTTTTGATATAGTAGATGCAACCTCAGAATGCTTTGTTATTGAGCTACATCACCAGTTGTATTTTATTCTGAGACAGGGCCTCACTAACTTCCTGCGGGTTTTGAAAGATGCTGAGGCTTTCACAAACTTGCTGAGTCTGACATCAAATTTGTGATCTTCTTTTCTCAGCCTCCTAATTTACTGGGATTTCAAGCATGTGACACCATGCCCTACAAAACTTCTTCTTCTTCTTCTTTTAATGAATTAAATAAGATTTTATTGTTAATTACATTTTTAGAGAATAAGTAGTATTTTATTTAAATAATGTAGAAAATATTTAAATTCATAAATGTATTTCCCAAT